GCTCGATAGGCCGTATACTTCACATCTGTATTACATCTTCCCCCATCTAACAATGTTAGACTGTGTTGTCCTTGGTAATTAAATAAAATATAGTTAAATATAGGATAGCTAGGAGGCAGCCTATGATTAATGTCTGGTACTTTTATGCTATATCGGACAGTGCTGCTAATATGGCAGTGTAGTGTAAGTCATTTCTTAGCCATGACCGGCATCAATCCTTTCCTTGTTGGAAAGGCTTCTTCTTGGCAGCTTTAAAGAAAAAAAAAAAGACAAACTCAACAAAATAATATTGCAGCAAAATTCTAAACATATCTCCCACTTTGAGCTGAGATTCAACTTCCATTAGCAAAAAAAAAGAAAAAAAAAAAAAAGAAAAAGGCAGTTTTATCTTTCCTATCCCTCATTGCTCTTAATACACAATTAACCCCACTGGCTAATGAACGATTTTGCTTAGCACACTCAAGTCAGCAGTCAGAATATTGTCTTCCTTTGCTAATGCGATAGAATATTAGCCTAGAGCTTTTTAAGTGAAAGTGCTTCGTCTCTCTCTAATTGGGTCAACAGAAGCCTAAAAAAGTTTGAGAGGGGGAAGGAAAAAAAAAAAAAAAGGAAAGATAGAAAGAGGAGGATGACACAGAGGTGCGCCCGAGGCTAAATGGGTGCATTTCAACTCGCGACGATGGTTAAAAACCCCACTCCAGCTAACATTAGTGGCACCGGGATTTTGGCTTTTCGTACTTCATGAAAATGCAGGAACAGGTGTGCTATTTTCCAAGCATGTTAATGTGTCAGAAAGATGCATTTGAGCCATTAGTGTTAGTTTCAAGTGTTCTGGTGTCGCTAATTAGTGCCACATATCTTAAAAAAGCAGCGTTAAAAACATGCGTGTCACTGTCGGGGGAAAGTATATTTTCCTTGGACTTTAGTTATACAACTGCTCGTCGCCATAAACATGTCTGAGGTATTATAAAGATGTGACACCCAGGAGAGCAGACCCATTACAGCCTTCTATAAAACAGAACATATCAGCATGGTATGAGCAAATGATCGCGAGCAATTGAGGGCTTGATGTTAGATCGCAAAGAATCGTGTCTAACAGCTCCCCCAGGGGTATAAACCTCGCTCAGATGGCACGTAGGGTTTGTAGACACGCTCTCGTCCCCTGTAATTTATCCTGAATCATCGTAAGGGCCCGGTGCACAGTCAGGTGTGAGGCCGCAGAACAAGGCAGAGCTGTGCAGCAGATATATGTTAACATGAGGGATGAAACCTTAAGTACCGCTTCTCCGTTTGGTATTTTTCTGCTCTTGCTCTTTTCATCTGCACGCATAACATTTATAGTGTTTATTTCCCACCTGTGCAGCAAATATATACGCTCATCTCATATGAGGGGTTTTTGAGAAACGGCTCCTCGAGACATGCGTGTCAACTGACGCCGCACAACTACCAGTTTTTTTTTCTTTTTTTTAAATGAAAGCTACAGTTGCATTCAATCTCATTGCAGCTGTTGAATTTGTTTTAACGGCATCCACTCCAGCACGACATATTAGTTATCCCTGCTGCGAGGCCCGCTGTGTGAGCAAGATTACAGTAGCAAAGTGCAGCCTAATGTGTCAGAGCGGCAGTTTAATGTCCTATTATAGATACCAGGGTCTTGACAACCAATAAAGCATCCAGATGTAATTTGTACCCTCGGCCCTGCCACCGGCTAAATGTGCTGTTTCCTCTCGTTCTTTTGTGGATCGGCCTCTTAAAACGTTGGCTCCCTTTATGTTTTGCATATGATAGGCGTGTGATAGCACCATGTTTACGGGTCTTACGGATGATGTTTTTTTGGGCTGACAGTTCATAGAAAGAGAGTAATTGTGAATGCATGATTCTGCTGAAGCAATGATTGCAGCGTGTTAGAATAAGACGGCTATCTGTCTGTTGTCGCCGATAGTTAAGAGTGTTTTAACACCGTCTTAGACATTAGTCACTATCAGCATTGCTGTTGCTTTTGTCACCGGTTTCACACCAAATAATTTAACATCCTCGAGGCCCCGTAGCCTGCTGCAGATGAATTATGTGTTGACCCTTTGTCGTGTTTAAACTCCAGTTGCGAGTGATGTTTAACTTTCAGCTGTCTGAAACATTTTGTTGCCGGGAGAAACATTATTTTTTCAAGGCGTTATATAATCAGACGTGCCGAGCGCTCGACTGCATGGCACCGTCCTGGTGGAATACAGGAGGGGGAGCTCCGGAGATGCCCTCATCAGTCACTTTCTCACACCGGTGGCTCCGGAGCAAATGTTTGTTCCTTCCTCACGCGCTTTGACGGCATTAGTTAAAACTCTCAGGCCTCCGACATCACTGCCAAATGATGCTTGTGTGAAATGATAAAGGTTTTTAGCCCGGGGAGGACTGTTTTAGATGCTATTTATGTTTTATTACAATTATAGCAGGGATCACAGAGACTGCCAGCGTGATAACAAACCAGCTGACAGCTAATCCCCCCGGACAGGAAACGAGTTGTACAGCAACTGATGTCATCTGAGGTTAAATGTCCATTCTGATGAGGCGCTCTTCAAAGGCGGATGCATCCAGCTATTGTTCCATCGCTCCCTTTCTATCATTAAGCTAAAGAGAAGATGAAAGTCTAGTTCATGAGAGCCTGACAGCCCTGTGGCTTTATAACTTGCCCCAATTTAAAAGGGGAGTAAAGGGGGGGAACTTATCAAGTATGTAGAACGTAGAAAAGATAAACGGATGGATAGATGTCGGTGAACATGCACCTACATGTGAGCGGCGTCTACAGTGCTCCCCTCAGCCTTGGCACACAGCACCGGAGCAGTACAGTGTGATGTAATACAACCCTCAACCCTGGAAGAGATGTTAAATGCACAATAAAATGCTAATGCTACTCCTCTTTGAACAGTCACTCATAAAAATTGAGATTTTAACCTCCGACTCAGCAATAGCATACGTGATATGAGAAATATATTCCTCTCAATGGCCTCTTTTAAGGAGGGAGATGATGTCCGCTGGATATTATCCCCCTCGCTGTGTTTAGTGGTAATGAATGGCAGCTAATGAACACCACCTCTGCGGCTGCTTCGCCTTGATGCCCTTTGCTCAGCCAGTTTTTTTTTTTTTTTTTTTTCGCTAGTGGCTGTCTGGGAGATGAGAGGAAGGGGGATGAGGGACAAAGAGGGAGGGAAACAGAAGGAGAACAGGACCCAGCAGGGGGCTGTCATACCTTGTACCGTGCCCAGCGCCGAGGTGGGAGCCCCTTAGTTTCAGCACCAGCAGATCAAAGCGAGAGGTGTTGCAGAGAGGAGGAGGGTGATCAGCGGCGGGTTAAGATGCTGCGTTGTTCACAGCTGCGCGCGTGGATGTGGATCCAGCCGAGAAGCGCAGGTGTTTGATAGACCTCGACGAACACCTTTTGTTGCTCCTCGGTTTCGCGTGTTTGTGTAACTTATGATGGGCTTTTTCATGTTTCATTAACCGTTCTATGTCTCCATCTCACTGTCTTCCTCAGCCACAGGGATCTAAAGCCAGAGAACCTGTTGCTAGATGAAAAGAACAACATCAGGATAGCAGACTTTGGCATGGCATCGCTTCAGGTTGGAGACAGTCTGTTGGAAACCAGCTGTGGGTAAGTAGTGTCAAAAAATCTGCCTGCTTTCCTGTGCAGCATCTAACTCACATCCTCTGCAGTTTTATATTTGGATGTGACTCTGAGGACGTCCTGAGGGTTGTAATGGGTCGTAGTTTGGACAGGAGGCAGAATTAACGAAACAGAGAGGAGACGCAACAGAGAATGATGAGTGGAACCATCAGGCCCTCTGCCAGGTGCACTGTTTTCAAAGCGTCCATTATCATGCAGCGTTGATTTCTTCAACAGAGACTTTGGGTGTCGTTCGCAGAGCGTGCTGTCTGGCTATGAGCGTGGCCAGGGCCACGGCCACACATTACTGCTCTCCGTCTCCTCGTATCTCACACTGGGTTTATGAGCTAGCAGTCACGACCACGCCAGGCCCATCAATCCCGTGACTATAATGAATTCGCTTGCAGCAAAAGTCACTTTCAAAGTGGGACGGCTGCACTCAAAAAAAAGGACTAAAGTCCCCCATATTGCGGGAGTGTTTTTATTTAACCCTGAAGTGTAGTAACCAGAGTGCAGGGTCATGTTTGTCAGTAAAAGGCAACAGAGCTGCTGATGGTTTACTTTTAGGTTGGTGGGTTCATAAACTCAGTGACAGCATGGTTTAACAGAAACACTTGAATGCTGCACTGCTGTTCTCCCATTTCAATGAAGTTCACATTGGAAATGAGATGTCAGTATGTAAGCACGGCCGGCCATAGTAGCGATACATCAGCATAGGTTTTATTTATTGATTTGTTGTTTTGTTTCACCGCATAATGTTGTTGTCAAATGAGGAAGTGAAATGGGATAGTTGAGCTTGTGAAACTTGGATCAATAGGTGTAGTTCACCAATTAAAACCCATAAAGCACGTAGTCAGTTTTGTGATTTATATGTCTTCCTATAGCAGACACTTAACAGACAAGAGGTGATGCAGTTACATATTGATGTGTGTCTCAGAGTTGGTGGCGGCTGTCGTATAGTTTCACAAGCGGATATGTTCCATCAGAGAGCAAAGTGACATTTAAATTACTCTGAAAATGCTTCTAAGCTTTGCTAACATCCATTAATGTAAGTACAGAATTTTTTTTTTCCCTTTTTTTTTTGTGGATGTCTTGGAAAGAATGTTTGCTTTGTAGTTACACATGACACTTCATGCAGGGTTGGGAAACAGAAAGGCCTTTTGACATCTGTGCCCAGCTCAGATTGATTCTGTCCAGATTAAACCTCCAAATCAGCTGCGGCTAAAATTACACGCACTTGCATACACGCCATTCATCAAACACACATGCGCACACAGCACAGGCGAGGCTTAGTTCATCCCTGACCTCCAGGACCCTTTGTCCTGTGCTTGTTTGGTTGTCTGTCTGTCTGTCTGTCTCTGACTCCCTCTCTGTCGTATAACACACATGCGCGCTCATTTCAGCGTGCACACACACACATGCATCCAGCTGAAAGTGTTGCATAATTTTTTTTTCAGCAGTAAGCGCAGAGCCTAAGCCTGTCATGACTCATCGGTAGAGATCAGGCCGAATAAAAGCTGCGCGCATGAATATCTGCAAGTCAGATGTGCACAATTGAGTCATTCTGCTGCCACGATGACCACATTGAAGTGCTTCTGTTTCCTCGAAAGGCCATATGCAATAGCTCTTACTCAGCAGTATCCTGTGTCTATATTTGATTGCGTTCTGCTTCCAGTCTGAGCAATTCTGCAATCCGGTCCAGGTGCAGTGCATCTGCTTAGTCCCCCACATGCTTTTGCAAAGTGCTAAAGGTACTTGTTGCAGGTGGGAACACAGAGCTGTCTTACAGAGAAGCAGGAATACACACACACACACTCACACACACACACACACACACATACACACACACACACTGCCTCACAGCAAAGTTCCACTTTTAGCTCCGTCATCGTGCTCTGTTTGCGCACACGTTCGCTAGAAATGTATTTGCACCATTTGCGTCTCTAATGCGTGTGCCATACAACGTATGTGTGGTTATTGATTATTCATGCTCTTCTGACTGTCCCATCTCTAAGTGTAGATATGACACTTTTTAATTAAACACATTTATCTGGCCCCCCTGCTCACCATGCAGCAGCCTGACACAAATGTATTCCATTTGCTACGGGTAATGGAGCTGAGTGAAGATGAGTCTTGCCCCAGGTAGCGTAGAGGGGGGGGAGCCTCGGAGCGCACGCATAAATACATGCAGACGTACAGACCTGTAGATGAGCAGAGGCGTCGGCAAGCACGTTCAAATATGGATCAAGGAACGCGCACGCAACCTCTTTCTCTGTCTGCACGAAGCCAGCTGCGAGTTCATCAGCGCTCGCTGTTTATTTACAGTAGTTCGGTTGCACTGACTGATGAAAGGAAATTATCTTGTTTATAGTGAGGAGCTGCAAAAATGTGCTTTAGAGGGATGTCTAAGTGTCTCCTCAGTACCACCATCACATACTGTTGCTTCATTTACTGCACACCGTGGCCAGTATACTGTATACTGTGAGGGTAAACTTATGAAAGCTTGTTTGAACTCGTAGTTCAGGTAATACAGGCGCTGATGGGCTTTTAAGTTGAAATAAACACGGTTTTTCCACACATCATTTTTGTCTCCCTTTATGCTGTTGGGCAAACCACTCACAGCAGCATCTTATCCCACTACTATTATTTGTTGCCCTCAGGAAAAAAAAAAAAAAAGCCACGATTTCTTCGCTGTCTGTTGATTTTATTTATGAGATGTTGCTTGTGTTAGGCTTAGAAAGTAAATGAGCTTTAACAAATAGCAAAAAAAAGACTGATGCTATGTCAACGTACGCTCAACTGTTTTTCAAAGGACTACATTTTTCACTGCGGTCAGAGGGAAGTGGCTCTCACGGTTTCCTATTTATCTTTGCTGTCCTAGTCTATAGCCTGAACTTCTGGAGTGAGCAGCGTGGGGTTTTTATTATCATGATATAAAACTGTATTTCAATCAAATTTTAGAAAATGTTCCTTTGTACTAAAAGGACATTTAGATGATTTAACATATTTATTAGAGGCTTGTTCAACTAAATCACTGCACAGTTTTGAATGTGACTGTGCTTTAAGTCTCCATAAGAACCTACTCGGTAGTGGAAAACAAAAGCATCAGAACTCAGTAAAAACTCTGCAAGTAAGTAAAGAGAGTTTTTCTCAGTATTAACTAGACTAAAGGTTTCTTAGGGGCATTTCCATGGTGCATTAAATCTTGCACCAGTTGCATCCGAAGCAACTCGACAACAGCACCAGAAAACCGGTGCAGTGACCCACGTTCAGCCCTGGTTGCATGCCATCCCGTCTCTCTATCCCAGCTTCTCTGTTTTCTATTTAGGCAACAACTCCCGAAAGAGTTGTTTGTGAGACAGAAGAGCAGCTTCATCGCAGAAACAAAAATCTGCTACATGCAGAACGCGAGACTCCAGTCAACAAAAGTACTGTCAAAACACGGCTGTCAAGGCTGGATGAGCTGCAGTCCTGATACCACTTCTCAAAGTGGGAACGAGGCCAAATGTTTAGAATTGGCTCAGACTAACTGCATTTCACGGTGAATGATGGGGAGAGAGTTCTATTTGCTTATGAGTTCAAGTTTTAGATTCGTCGCTGTAGCAGTATGTAAAAGGGATGAACCTAAGACAGACACTGCAGTGAATCAAACCTACAGTGAAGCCTGGTGGAGGGAGTTTCTCTGTCTAAACCTCAACCCTGGGAAACATTTATGTGGCCACTTGAAGACTGAGAAAGCCAAACATTCCCAAGAATCTCTTTGGAATATTGTCAGATCGTGCTGGGATAACATGGTTTTGCAGGAGCTTTGGGACCTCCACGTCATGCTGTCATTACAGTAAATAGAGATTTTAGTTTTTTAGTAGTTGATTTTTT